CTTATACACATCTAGATGTGTATAAGAGACAGGTGCTCAGAACGAGGATCTAGAATGGTAGGTGGTCTTGAGGGGGGTTAAATAAAGTTCTGGAGCGTGTTGAGAAACAGGGTCTTGCGGGGGCCATGAAATGGGGGTACAATAGTTTGCTCCAGAAAAGATGGGTGGTTGTAGAGTGATTCGTGAGAGAGAGAGTATGAGGGAGGGGGGGGGGGGGGGGGGGGGGAACAAGAGGGGGAGAGGTTCTGAAGGGGTCCGTTAAATGGTATATGGAGGAGCGTCCAACGGGTAGTAGTTGTGGTTTGTGTTGATTGTTGCCCCTTCTCGTGTAGTAGATTGTTAGCTCCCTTCGCTTCCCATGACACTGATGCTTTTGTCTCCCCCCTATTTGTGACTTGGTACATAGCCCCTATTTGTCTCCCCCCTATTTTAGCAGAGCTTCGGTGATCAGGTATCATCTGCTCTGGGAGGTTTTTTCACTTCCCTTGTATGGTTGGTTGGTTGGTTGGTACAATGGTACAACTCGGTTGTTGTACCGGTTGGAGCGCCACCTCGGGAATTAGGTTTGACGACACGGATTGTGCGCTGTAGCCAGTTTGCCAGGCACACGCAATCTGCTGTCTGAGTATACGCAGGTTTGAACCGCAGTTTTTTCAGAGTGAAAATGAGTGTGGAATCGGCTCTTGCTAGTAGTCCTTTTCATTACTTCAGTAGTCTTCTATGTTTTTTCACTTAGTAGTCATTTTCAGAGTGAAAATGAGTGTGGAACGGGAACAGGTACTCACCTGTGGTGTGTATTGCCATGCTACTACCCCAGCCTGTGGTTCGCACTCTTCATCTCTGTGGTTCGTACTCTTGATCTCGTTTGCTTCTGCTTTCCTAACCCTCACATCCTCGTACACCTACGAAAGAAAGAAAAAGCACATTATTGGTTATCTGTTTTTTGTAACTTTATAGCATTTGCATCACTGCTCTTTTTTTTTCTCTTTTTTTTTATAAAAGAAAAGGAAATTTGCTTTACTGCTCCTCGTTTCCCTTCCCCGGAGAAAAAGGTTAAGAATCTTGAGGCGGGAAGCGGAAATACTAAGTAGTGAGAATTGCTCGTCTCCGCACTTCCATGCATATCTTTGTAGCATCTGTTGCTTGACGTCGTGGCGGGAAACCGTAGAGAACTGCAGACTGCCTCATGTATGTAGTGTCTGGCTTCAGTGGCTTGCAGTCGACCGTATCTGCTCTCCATTCCATACAATGACCGCATCTAGGTGCTGGTGTGGCCTTCCATGCATATCTTGTATCTGTTCCTTGACATCGTGGCGGGAAACCGTAGAGAACTGCAGGCTGCCTCATGTATGTAGAGAGTGTGTGTGTGTGGCCTTCCATGCATATCTTTGTGTGAGTGTGTGTGTTTGTGTGTGTGAGTGTGTGTGTTTGTGTGTGTGAGTGTGTGTGTTTGTGTGGACAACCAGTGTTCCAGCCTGCTGCCCCTTGTCATTTGCACCCTCCGTGCTTCTCAGTGATCCTCTCTTTGCACCTTGTGCCTCTCCTTATGTTGGTCTGCTTCCCCCCACTCATGTTGTTTGTTCTGCTGCCCCTTCCCCCCACCTCTTCTCCCTCTTGCTTGTGAAGCATTGCCTGGCTTGTCCTGTTTTTCTGCGCCCCTCCTTTCAGCTAAGTTGGACAAGCTGCGGCTCATGGGCGCAGAAACACAGGACAAGCCAGGCAGTGCGTGGCAAGCAAGAGGGAGAAGTGGTGTGGGGAAGGGGAAGGGGAAGGGGAAGGGGCAGCAGAAAAAACAACATGACTGGGGGGAAGCAGACCAACATAAGGAGAGGCACAAGGAGCAAAGAGAGGATCAGTGAGAAGCGCAGGAGGAAAGAACGCAGCATGAGCGGCAGCATGGCCAGGAGGGGGGTGCATGTGGGCAGAAAAGCATGTTGCCGGATGTCTAGATGCAGCGAATGCATGTGCATGTGCTGCGTGGTGACCTATGCCAAATGTCAGTGTCCAGTCGACAGACGCACATCTGTCATGGTGGGACTGTTGGTTCCTTGTACTGCTCACAGTCTCCGTCGTCATCCTTCAATCAACGCCATCTCGGTCTTACTCCAAGGATGACACCTCCTCCCCCTTCCCCTCCCCCTCCCACTCCCCCTTGCGCTTGCCCTCCCATCCACACAAGGTCGCCCGCAGCATTGCTGGCACTCAAGTCAAGTTCTTCATCGGCTAGGTTGTTCAAGATCCTCCCTTTCGGTGCCTTCACCAACATCTGCTGCCTTGCACCCTCCTCTCCCTCCCGTGGAGGACCCTTACCCTGAACCTTTGCTATCGGAAAGGGCACTCTCACAACAAAAGACCGTGCGGGGGTGGTTCTGCGGCTTCTCCCTGCAGTTGGCTACTGTAGTTATCTATCGCAGCAGTCCTCTTATTCCGTGAGTTGGTGATGGATGATATAAGGGTCTTGACTGTGAAGAGTGGGAAAGGCGGTGTGAGTCCGTTGATTCTACGAATATGAGAGCCCACACCTTGACACCTAAGATTCCATAAGGAGTAGATGCTTGTGCGAGAGAGAGGGGGAGAGAGCGTGAGAGAGCATGATGTGTTTTATCTGAGACCACATGCAAATATGTTTGACGGAACTGTGACCATATTTTCTGTCAGGCTCGTGTAGCTATTTTGTCTGAGGGGGAGATGTTATGGGTGTGGGGGGAGAGGGAGAGGGAGAGAGAGCGAGAGGGCAAGAGAGAGAGAGAGAGAGAGAGAGAGAGAGAGTGTGTAATGAGTTGGACACCTTAAGGTTGTGAGCAGGTGCTGGTCTGAAGGCAAACTGGTAGAGAAGATGCATGAGCTGATAGGTGAATTATTGCACTGCAATTCGCGAATGGGCGGGGTTGTGTTTCTAATCGAGGTGGGTTGATTGTGGCTTTTTTCTGTTCGCAAACAAGTCCGTAGACTGATTTCCTTAACCCTTTCATGCAAGCCAGGGATTCTGCAATGACTCTTGTCTGTGCATGCTGCTTCGAGTGATTTTTGCTTGTTGTGTATGCATGTGAAGGTATTGCGTGATTGGGCGAGTTGCGAGTCGTTTGCGGTGTGGGGAACATTCGAACTGAACCTAAATTGACAAAGGAAAAGTTGCCTTTTTGTGAGCCCGCCTGCTACAGTAAGGGGCAGAAAAGAAAAACACATTTGAGTCAAGGGCAGAAAAGAGAAACACATTTGAGTAAGGGTTTTCTGTACTGCCCTGTGTATTTGGACACATTGAGGTTCAAAAGACACATTCGAGTAAAGGGCAGAAAATATTCCATTGTTGCCCTCTTGTTTTTGCATTTTTTCAACTTTTTAAACTTTTTTCATGTTTTTTTTTTTTTGCTTTTCCCATTATCGTTGTTTTCAGAAGGGCACGCTGAACACAACATTTCGTTCTACCCACTGAAAGAGTTTGATGGTCACAAGACCGACCATACAATACATACGTAAAAGGAAGCCTCAGCATCGATCAATCCAGCAAATTAGAAATGAAAGTAGACGCAACGTGAGTGGCTTGCCCTCTTTCTTTCTTTCTTTCTTTCTTTCCGTCTCATTAATGAAACAAGTGAGATGCGTTGCGTAAAGTCTCTGAGGATCCCAAACAGCTCGGCAGTCTCTGGCTATAGGGGGAGCGGCCATACTTTTTTGTGGTTTCCTGCTGATCGAACATTGCTTATACAATTTTCACTGGTTCGGAGCAAGCACTTAAAAACCTAGTACGAATAAGCGTGTAGTTGTTCCAGCAAATGGCAACGTTTTTCTGACAGCAGAGCCTCTTGAGAACTGACAAGTTGTACTGGGCGGGAAACAATAGCCTGCAGACATTCGCTATCAGGGTGTGGTCTTCCCCGAACACAACGCCATCTTGATAATGAATGTATACAAGGCTACATGCTACATTTCTGATCTGCCGCAGCCAAAATGAGGGTGCGTTGTGTAAAAGTGGAAGACAGTACTGTGGGGAGAGAGAGAGAGAGAGAGAGAGAGAGAGAGAGAGAGAGAGAGAGAGAGCAGGCTACTGTCTTCCCCCCGAATACAATGCACCCTGGTCAAAAACGTATACTCTCTCTCCGGTCAGTGGAAGATGGTGATGCACAGAGAGAGAGAGAGAGAGAGAGAGAGAGAGAGAGAGAGAGAGAGAGAGAGAGAGAGAGACGCACATCTATATCGAGGGTTGCCCACACATCTATATCGAGGGTTGCCCACGGTTCGTTTTGTGTGTGTGTGTGCTCCTGCCTTTTTTCTGTCAGTAGTAGTGGGGGCTGTTTGGGTGGGCAGCACGTTTTTGCATACGCTGCTTTTATAATAGACCTGGTAGCGCCTGCCACAAATTTTTGGGGCCCATAGGCCCGATGGAGATTAGTCTCGTTTGATGCATTGCTGAAATTTATTTCTTTTGAGCTACGACATACGTACGTGAGGGCAGTGGGACAATTGATCAAGCAGAACGTCGGTATCCCCATGGGAAAGTCGTCAAGCCCTGCCATAGCTTGTCTTCTCTCTTCTTTTAACGAGTTCTCCTTTCTTTCAAGCTTGAAGAACGACCGGAAGTTGTTTCGAGGATGCAGATTGGTGGATGATGCTGCAGTGTTTGTAGTATGTAAGAAGAATGATGGGTGTTCCTTGAGGAGAGGTTACGGCCTGATCGATTCCTTTAGCCGTCGCTATGATCACAATTTGACTTTGGAGCGTACAAACTCGGATAACTGTTGGGATTACTTGGGATGTGTGTTGAAGGTGTTGGATGGGTCCACTGGAGTGCTCTGCCTGCCGATGACCGAAAATCAGAGAGAGGAAACCAATGCGAAGCCCAAATTCCAGTGTATTCAGGACTTCGTATTGTATACAAGTAAACAACAAAAGAAAGCAGTGATTTTCATCCTTTTTTCACCGAGCCAAGGTTTCTTCCTCTGTAGAAGGGTTAGTATTTCCTTTTCTATTCTCGTTGAAGTGCGAGCTGTGGCAGAGAGGTTATCCTGATGATTGGTTTGACGACGCTCTGATGAATTTTTCGAAGAAATTTGCTGGGTTATGGGGGGAATGGATCCCGATATTGACTGCATGGAAACGCCTTTTGTAGGTTATGTGAGAGAAGTGCACTGCTGTCCACGACGCATCAGTTTTTGGTCCACTCATTAGCTGTGGTTTGACAGTGGGTTTTGATACCCTCGGAATAGGGGGCTTCGGTCTGTGGGGTGTGGGATAAACCCTCGTCCTAGGGGGTCTTAATTCGGTGGGAAGGCTTGTTGTTTTGACTCTGCGTAGGGTAAATGAAGGGTACACGAGCTGCTGGTTGTTTGGAGAAGGCTCAAGGGTTTCGGTCCATGGTCAAGAGATTGGGATTGGTTGGAAGATGTGCGTATTTGGGCCCATAGGTACATTGGGTTTTTCCCAGTTTTTCCATTTTTTCCATCTTTATAGGTATATTGGGTCGTACCCTTATAATGTACGGAGCCAGGTTTTTGGTCTGGGTTATTCATTTTGTTGACGCGGCTACGAGAAGAATTCCGGTTTCGAAGGTTTAGGCTGACGTGTAGGAGGATCAGTACTTTTCCATTTAGTATATATGTCCTAGCAGTCAGGGTGTTTGTCAGACCGATTTGTCAAGACCCCTGATGAGCCTAGTAGCGGCTAGACGAAACCGGTCGGGTCGTCAATCAAGTCGCGTTCGGGGACACCTGTCTTGTTCGGTCGTGTACTGTCTGGATTTTGTCGAGTCTTGTCCTTGTTCGGTCGTGTACTGTCTGCATTTGTCGAGTCTTGTCACTCTTGTTGTTCACGCCCATTGCCTGTTCAATGTGGCCCTCGGCAGCTCCACTGCGCCGGATTACGTGGACGAGTCGAATTTACAGTACAGGGCCCAATGGACTAGTCGCTTGAACCACCAGTACTTCTCAGTGGTGCGCTGGTTAGCGTGCTGGGATGTATGGTCCTGCCGTGTGAGGACAAATGTGTTCGTGATGATCCTGAGGTCAGAGATCGGCGTAGCTACCGTCTCC